AAGTTCTCCCGAGGAAGGAACTGCGCAGAGGAGGGCCATGTCGTAGCTCCTTCCCCGAGGCTTTTTGGGCGTTCTCCTCGCAACAATTTCGTGTCTGAGATGTCGACATGGGTGGGAAGGACAGCAAGCCCCTGTCCCTCTCGTACGAAGAGGCAGTGAAGAGAGGTGAGTGCAGGGGAGCCGAGATGAGGCGGAGGAGGAGGAGGAGGAGGAGGAGGAGGAAGCATCGGCCATCATGAAGAAAGGAGGAGAGTTCGCCTCCTTTTTTATGGGCGATTTTTGTGGCGTTTGGGAGTGCTTGTGCGAGGGGTGTGGTGGGCGTGAGGGAAGGAGGGAGGCGATTAGGAGAAAGAGACGAGGCAGGAGGCGAAGCAAGGCTGGGGTTAGTGGAGAAAAGCCATATAATGGTTCCCCTTTAAAGAGCCCAGAAGACAAGAGGAAGTGGTGTCTTTTGTCTTTATCCCTTTAAGGACGGGGATTTTATCCTATTCGTAGGCAGGGATTAAATCCTAGGACTTCCCCAGGGGAGGAATATAGGCAGTGGGGATATTGCTGTTTCCAGAATCTTTTAAAGAGAAGTTGTTCATCAGTTAGGGAAGGATTGAACACCCTTTTAAAAAAGTCTTCTTGGCCTTGTGAGCTAGTATAATATTGGCAAATCCTTTCCTATTAATAGTTTTATCTTTTGAACCTTGATTTAGATGAGATATGTGGTGAGAGTAAATGATTTTGTTGACACACCAATGAGTTTGGTTGAATGTATTCTTGTTAATCTTCTTAAGGTATTGAGAAACTGAAGATGACACTTGTTCTATTGATTTTTGTGAGGATTTGCAATAGTGTTTCTATTGCCAAAGGGAATGTGAATGGCAGAATATGTGTATTTCTGAGGCAAAAGAAATACAAGTTTGTATATATTTCTAGATTATAAAAAATATCCTTTTACTTTAAATCAAATGAGTAATCAATTGATAGTAATTCTTCCTGTCCACATTTTTTTGTTTTTGTCTGTAATCTGATTTTTAAACACCCTTTTCTTTCATTAATTTACATTATGAATTGTTCATACTTCAAATCAGTTCTTTTGGGGAAGGAGTTATGTTTGTATCAGGCAGATTACTGAAGGTATAGAAAATTCTAAAGTTATAGAGTGTATTTTAGAATTAACATTGTTATTGAAAAAGTATATCCAATTCCTGAGTCCTGTGTCGTGTGTTATACTAAGAAATGGACTAAAAATTGAGATATTTTAAGTGAAGTGCTGGAAAGAGATGTGAGGAGGAAATAAGAAAGAAAAGATTGGCTTAGTATCTGTAGTTAAGAAAAGGAAATTGGGGGAAAAGGAGAAACACAAAATTCTGATATATGTTGAAATTGTAGGTTGAGGGTGTATGGTCAAGGTGTAAGAGATATGTCATGAGAACCATATTACTTATCAGTGATTGAGATTGTAAGACATTATGTAAGATTGACAGTGGGTATTTGAGTATTATGGTTAAGGAGTGAGAGCCATATCATTTATAAGAATTGAGTCAAAGTAATGCATATTCGAAGAAAAAGGAAGAAGGCCAGAGTGTTCTGTTCAGTTTTTATAGTCCTAATTTATAGGGGAATATATGGCATTGGTTGTCGTCTGCAGGCGAGCTTTCTGGAGTTAGTTTTTAGTATTTTGTGTTGCGTATGTCTTCATTTAGTAGAATAGTAAAATGGCAACTCATGTTGATGCTTGGCTCTCTTGCCCTAAATATACATCTGTGAAGTGTCAGTATCCAGACATTTGGGAGCAGGTTATAAGGTTAATCTTTATAGTATGATTGCACTCAGCTAAGGAAAATTGAAGCTCATATTCTTCTAGAGGATTAAAATTTGCATTTGTTGGTACAAGAAATAATATACAGACACGAGCGGGGAATGGAGCAAATGAAGGAATGATGTCTCGGAAAATGCTGCTTATAGCCGAAGTACTCAGTACTCTCTCTTGCCATGCATAATAATGTAAATACAATGTTTGATGGGGCATTTTGAGGGAAAGAGACCCTATCAACCATCCCTTTGGGCATTCGGGCACGCCCAGTCATGGCAACTTAGATTGGTGAATAAATTTTGCGATGAAGTTTGGGACTCTGTGGCAAGTGTATATGCATTGTAGATGTCAGCGCATGCCATCTTGTTTGTGCCACTTGGGTTCATATTGGCAGATAATTGTGGCCGTCCTTGTTGTTAGGGTGGTTATCACATTTCATTTTGTTGTCACAGTTCAATTGTTAAAAATTCTGAGGTATTCTTGGAAGTAAAATGAAAGTTGAACCGAGTGATTTGAAATTAACATTGGATATCTGTGTTAAATGTGGCAGAATATTCCTTTAGGATTGTAATTCGCCAGCTAATGTCTTGTATTTTATTGTTGTGTGCATGAACATTTTAGAACATAAAATCAAAGCTGAAATGAATACATTGAAGTTGGCATGCTATTTCCAGGCCAGAAGCTCCTGAATATGGGTGAAAATTAAGTTACAAACACATTTAGGGTGAAATAGAGCTGGATTTTAAAATATTTAATATTTGAGTATTTTTTTTTTATGTCAAAGTTAATGTAGGTAAAAGAAAAGATAATCATCAAAATAGGTAATTACCTGAAATTCCAGTTTTTTCAGATTGAAATAAGTAACGGTGTAGGATTTATATTTTTGTATATGCAAATAGTGATAGTAGACCCTGTTTAAGTTTAAGAGAGTGTGAATAATATCAATGATGGACTTTTTATGTGAGTTCTACATTTATATGAATAATTACCCATATTTATTAATTCCTGATAGGTCTAAAATAAAGTGAAATAATACAAGAACATTATAGAATGGCCAGTATTAAACCTTTATCATATTTTGTGTACTAAAGGAAAGGAAAACTTATCCAAAATACATCCATAGTGAATTCATGGTGAAGAATCTGAAGGGAAATGGTTTTATTTCTCACAATTTGGGCTATTTGAATTAGCATATAGTTAGTATAGAAAGGTCTTGATTTGAAAGCTGATTCAGGCATTTTGTGAGCACTTACAATTTTTTCTAACTTGTGCATTAAAAGCATTTAAACTTTTTTTTTAAGGAAGACATTGTCATGTTTATTTTCTAATGTAACTGATTTGTATAATAGTATTCTTTGTTAATACATCTGAGAGAATTTGCTAAATTGATGATTATTAGAAATGTTGATAAAATATTTGGAGGCAGAATATGAGACAAATATAGGAAAAGATAACTTGTCAATGATATCTAAGTAGTAATGACAACAAAGATTAAAACAAAGGATGTAAACCTAAATATAAGTAAGGATAAACAGATGGCAGGAGTATATCATCCCCCCCTCCCCCCCAAGTAAACATGATAAAACAAGCAGAGACAGACAAATGGGAAAAGCAGGCAGGCAGGCAGACAGACAGACAGGCAGGCAGGCAGGCAGGCAGGCAGGCAGGCAGGCAGGCAGACAGGCAGGCAGGCAGGCAGGCAGGCAGGCAGGCAGGCAGGCAGGCAGACAGGCAGGCAGGCAGGCAGGCAGGCAGGCAGGCAGGCAGGCAGGCAGGCAGGCAGACAGACAGACAGACAGACAGACAGACAAACAGACAAACAGGCAGGCAGACAGACAGACAGGCAGGCAGGCAGGCAGGCAGGCAGGCAGGCAGGCAGGCAGGCAGGCAGGCAGGCAGGCAGGCAGGCAGGCAGGCAGGCAGGCAGGCAGGCAGACAGGCAGACAGACAGGCAGATAGACAGGCAGACAGACAGACAGACAGACAGACAGACAGACAGACAGACAGACAGACAGACAGACAGACAGACAGACAGACAGACAGACAGGCAGGCAGGCAGACACAGAAAGACACACACAGGAACACAGAAACAGAGAAAGAGAGAGAGACGCACACGCACACGCACACGCACACGCACATGCACACTTCATGGGATTTGTTTCAATGTGAATGCAGAATAGTATTTTTCTGCATCAAATTGTGATTTCAAGAGGATGAGACCACTTGGAAGTAATTTTAGGGAATTCATTGACCTTGGCTCTATCTTGAACCTTTTCTTGTGATGTCTAGACTTACTTTTTGAATCATTTGTTTTCTCTTGAACATTTTCCGCATTTTGAGCGTTTCAGTCTTCCTCTGTTGCTAGTCCTTCCCAGTAAGAAGAAATAATAATAAAAAGAAGAAGCAATTTATGGGTTGAATCAGGCTCTATCTCGTGTGGCATTTGAAGGTTAGGGACAAGTAATCTGGCCTTTAGTGCCTTTTTTTTCTCAAGTGGGAATATTGATTATCTTGTGTAGTTCCGGTCGTTTCTATTTCTGTGTCTTGACCTAGTTAATAAATGTCATGACTAAGCCATTTCTTGTCTCCAATATCATGTATTTATATATTTTTTATGTAACTACTATGGGATTGAAGCTATTGATAGATAGGTTAATTGAATAAGCTGTCTGATTTTGTCTTTGGAAGGAAAAGGTATATTTTCAATAAAGTACAAAGTCATGTTACCTGTGTAGCAGTCTGGAATATTGATTGAAATGAAAGTGGTCTTTATGTGCAGGGAAAAGATCATGAAGAAGGAAAGAATTGCCACACGGCGATTATCGAAGGCATCGTTTTGAAATTGGTGTTGACAGGAAGATAGATATCCAAGAGTTGGCTAGAATGCCAGGAACTCTTGTCACATTCTTTGTGTTGCACAATTGATTATTGATAAAACTAGACTTAGGAATCAGGCAAGGGTGCCGTTGCATGACCAATGGAGACAGGGAGGCGACAAGAAGGAACTGTAGGAAGTAAGCTGATGATCAATGATTCACCGGCAGCAGAACAAACAGGACCTGAGGACTGGAGAATTGTGGACGTGATTCGTACTCCTTTTTCCCTTCGATTATTATTGGCTACAGATTGAAAAAAAAAAAAAAAATGATGCAACTACATCAACCTCCCCAATAACAAGAAAAGAAAAAGAAAGAAAAAATATAGTTTATTATATTTCAAGGTTGAAACTTAGCGCATTGCTCCGGTATTCTGAGAAATATTTAAAATCAATATGTGGTCCTGCAGTCCAGGCCACCAGATTGCAATATAAATTTTTTCACTGATAACATGTGATTGCAGTGTTACCAGATGCACTCTTACT